AGAACACAAAAGAAACAGATATTTATAGTGTTGGGATGTTAATGTGGGAAATATTTGCAGGCCATCCACCATTTGATGATAGAGGTCATAATCATCGTTTAATTTTTGATATATGTGAAGGTTTACAACCACCAATATTACCTGGGATGCCTGATGACTATGTACAAATGATGCAGAAATGTTGGGATGTGGATCCATCTAAAAGACCAACTATTAGAGAACTTTTAATATTTGCTGATAATAAATTAAAAGAAAATTTTAAAAATGAAAGCTTGAAAAATAACAATAATAGCAATGATAGTTTAATAAAAAGATTATTCAAATTTACTAAAATTAAAATACAAAAAATCGATTTTAATAATGATGGCAGCAGCAGCAGCAGCAGCAGCAGTAATTCACAACAAGCACACAAATCACATCCAGATGCATATCATAAAAGTAGAATATTAGATGATGAAATTACAAAGTCAAAAAGTTTAAAAAGTAACAACAGTTCATTAAATAATCTTGATATTAATGATATTCTCTTAAACATTGATTTTAACAATGGTAAATAAATACATACAAATTTTGTTAATTAGATTATTAATGGTTAATTTATTTATTACTAACAATCTTTTTTATCCTTGTTTAATTAATTAATTAGATTCTAATGATTAATTTAGTCTCTACTATAAACTTATTCATATAAATTATATTTTTACAATAATGTTTTGAAATAATAAATATTTTACAGTTTTAATCCTTGTTCCGGAGCAGAAAAATACTTTGAATTGGGGTTTTCTTTTTCCTTTTGCATTTGTTGTTCACTTATTTCACATAATGGTGGAAACACCATTTGTAGTATAACATCACTCTAATGAAAATTCTTTATTAATGATATTATTATTATGTTAAATGTACATTATAACATTCATTTTCAATTTCAAAATGGTATATTAATTTTGTTACTATAAGCTAATTGACCAAAAAGATAATTTTCATTTAAACAAGTAAGGTGTAATGTATTTATAAATGAGTTAAATAATAATTGACTTGGAAAACCTTTCAATTTACTATTGATTTAAACATGATGGCATGTTTGAATGATGTGGGTATTTTTTATCCAGGTATATGTTACAAAATTAATTTTAAGGTAAAAATAAAAATTTATTATGAATATATGTATGAATTGGATAGAATAATTAATTATAATTTACAAAGTAAATGAAAATTATAAATCTACTAATTCAAAATTTTTCTTCAATTCCTTAAATACTGAAGGTAAAAATTATTCTCAATAATTCAGATTCATCCTCTAACCAATTATTATTTTCGAGTTATAGGTGATATTGGTCTCTTATTATTATTATTATTTAATACTATTAAATAATTGTGATATCTCAATGATATTTAGTGAAAAGCTTAGTAAAGAAACATATTCATCATTTGTATTTGGTGGGAATTTCCATATAATATTAACTGTTAATATACATATAATATATTATTATTATCATATGAATAATTTCCGTAACTCTCTATACAGTATCTTTAAACCCAAAATAATCGAGATTTACCTCTTGATTCTTCTATATAGCTCTTTTGGGTTTTTTACATCTGTGATATCAGAAAGAAAAGGCTTCATTTTTGTTCATGTTGTTTTATCCTTAATCTCATCAAACAATAATATAAACTTTGCGTGGAACCTGGAATCAAGTTTTTGATGTTTTTATTTTGAATGCAAGGTTATATATGAACTGAAAAGTTAATTTTCGTGGCCTTATAATAAATTTTAATGAATGCTACTTCGATATACACATGTAATACACACATACACAATTAAAGAAAATCTTTATTATTATATGTTTCCGTTATGTAACATGATTTCGCTTTACTATTACTAAAATAGCTTTTGTTAAAGTTCATAGAATAAAACAGACTAACAGTTCAAGTCTTTATAAATTATTTCTGTAGCTTCCCACATTGAAATAGTGTTTGGGAGCCAGATCCAATCCTGAATTGTTGGCATACCACTAATACATTAACTTCTTTAACTCACTTGTTTGATTTTGAGTCCATTCTGAAAATAAAAATATAAAAGTCAGACTGAAGATCTAATGACATACATAGAAAATACACACCATCAAAGCATATAGTAGTTCAAAGATTTCCATGAAATTTTCGACTTCTTCAAAAGAGAATGGTATCATTGCTGACTTAATCTGCGAAATTTTATAAAAATGTTTCTTATTAAGACGAAGTTCACTTAGTGTAATTCGATCACCTAACATAAAATAACCAGAATAAGGTTAATACCATTCAAAAGAAGCTGACACAATACAATAAGTACATTACTGATGCATTGCACCATGTAGGTACATATATTTCTTGCATTTTTATCTAAAAAGTTTATAAACAAAGAGACCAAACCAAACATAGCTTCCTTTATGAGCTTTTTGGTATCTTCTCTGACATGTTTTATAACAGCATTCTCTGGTCCTCCAGGCACTTTGATGAATATTATTTCTTTTTTGCTTGCAACCCTTGAAACCAATTCCATCTACTTTATTTAATGTCAAATCAAATTCTGGAAACAACATTTTTGCATCCTTGATACAGTTAGCTTGCACTTCAATCCAGTCAAATGTGTATTCTCGGTAAACAGATTGAATTGCCTTAAATAAAGGAGCTATTCTATCCACGATATATTTCCTTTCCTCAATATAACGATCCAAAGGACCTTTACTAGTCATGAAGAAACTATTTTCAAACAGGGTGAATTAGTCAGTTGTGACGAAAATGACACGTAGAATCCTAATAATATACACTCACAAGTCATAAAGAATAATTTTGCAGACTTTTTGAAACAAATTTTCGGGATTCAATGAAACCGTAATAGCATTCTCAAATGTATTCTTTTCTGACTAATAAACAAATTTTTTAATATAGATTTGACGTAACATCTGAAAGAGGTTTATATTTACTTACCAATAGTACATTTATAAGCCAACTACGAACTTCTTTTGGAATTGCATCAACCTGATCAGCTTTCATTATCACACATTGCTTGTTAACATTTACTGAAATATGTTTGACCAAATATTGTATAGAACGTTCTCCGAGGACAGGTTTTTGTGGAGTGGTTAACACAGTTTCGTTATATGGGTTGGGAGAAAACATGTGAAACTAATGGAAAACAAACATCATTCAGGTATAATTCTCATAAAAAATTTTTTACCATCTAATGTAAACTTACATCATCATCATCATCATCATCATTGGATTCCATCGTTCCCATATCATACTTGCATTCATTCAAATTTTCTTGAATGCCATCCTTGATTTCGACATTTGTAGATTTGGTAGATTGTAAAAAAAAAGAATGTCGATAATTAAGTTTCAAAGAAACAAAAATATGTTGGTATTAATTACTTGCCTTTTCGGGTGTTTCCATATAATCAGAATCGAAATCTGTTTTTGTTTCCGTTGAACTTATTGTACTTTCAGCATAAGACTCTACTTTCTTCTGCCTAAGAGATCGTCCCTAAAGTCATAAATTAGATCAGCATATGCAACAATGACCTTGAAGTTAATCACTATGCTCTCACCTGTTTTTTTTCTTTGATTTCTAAGGTGCTACTCTTGCATTTAATGTGTTGTATATTTGTTGCATAATCCCCAGTTGACATTGTTCCATTATTCTCGTAGTCCCCGTAAAGTTAATTAAAGTTTTGTTGTGAAATGTACGATTCCTTTCCCAGTTTTGAGCAAGAAAAAAATCTGGTTTAGAACTCTAGATGTAAAACTAAGTGAATTAGTAAAATTCATTTTTAATCACATGTTCTGATTTTTCATTTCTACCCCATCAAGTCGGCAAGAAGCCTTAAACATCAGACAACCAAGAAGGTCACCTGTGCCCTGATAGGACCAATGCTGGGTCGGCAAGAAGCCTTGAACATCAAACAACCGAGAAGGTCACTTGTGCCCCTAAATTGGTTTCGTGGCTCAACAAAAAGTCTTGAATGATAAAGTACCAAGAAGGTCCCCACCATGCCACCTATATTTTTAACCAAAGGAAAAATAATCATGTAGAAAGGTTCTCCTTATACTTCTCAAGAAGTGTAAGTGCTCTTTCGCATCTTTTCCCTTTCTCCAAGGCAATGATATTATTAAGAGACTTGATGTATGCATCTATTTTTTTTTGAAAGGTTCAATGTCATTTTCGTTCAAAAAATCAATTATTCTCCAATCTGATGATTTACGACTGAAGTATTCATGGATTTCTTTGAACATTGTGGCAATAAAGGTTTTTACACTTGACTAATATTATTGATGTTTACAAACTGATTTAATATATAGTAAAATAATTTAAAATAATTGGACGTGTCCAAATTTTCAAAACAATTTTTTCTCCAAAAATGGATTCACGTGATTTTCGTGTAATTAAAAAAAAACCTGTAAAATTGACACGTGTCCGATAAATAAAGTAACTAACGAGATCACTTAGCAGGCTAGAAATCATCCACGAAGGATATGAGTTAACGAGATTCCTCTATGAATCTTTAACTCCCAGTCAAATATTTACTAATATCAACGAGATCACTAAGCAGAGATCACACAGCAAGTTAAACTGTGTAAATATTTGAGAAAACTCGAGTAAAAATAAATAATTTTATCAAGGCGTCCCTTAATAAAAGAGTAATATTATAAAGGAAATTTATGGTATTATTACTAAACTTTTTGCATATAATTTTCTTGATAACCTTTTTTTTGTTGATCCATAAATATTTTGGGGAGAGAACTGGTAAAAAAAATGTAGTTCACAAAGATTTCACATAGTGAAGACATCGAGTATAACACCGTTTTTAATATTTCACTAGTATTTGTAAAACCGTTGTAAAAATATTGTAAAAAGCGGCTGTTATACTTCAATGTCTTCACTATGTGAAATCTTTGTGAACTACATTTTTTTCTAACAGCGGAGGATTGGACTATTGAAGCTGCCAACAATTATACATTTTAGAGTAAAGTTGTAATGTTCATACCGCATTCACTTGTGATCTTGCTTTGATACTCTGTCAATGTTACCCTTTTGTTCGGATGAAAATGCTTTAGTTTCATTTAATTCTGTTTCATGTCGAGGCTTTAGTATTTTCGATGGCGTAATTCAATCGCAGGGATCAAGTTTATTATGACGCGCGACCTCTCTCTCTCAAAGTTTCTTTTACAATTTTTTGAAAGATGGCATCCCGATTTTATTGCGCGTTTCAATGATAGGTTCAGCGGTTTTTTCAACTCAATTTCGGAGTTTTAATATTTTTTGATATCGTACTTGAGTTGCAATGCGCATTTATTGACAGGTTCAACTTGTTTATTGGTCTCTTTGTGTTCGACAGGTTCATCAGATATCATTTCTTTTTTGAACCATCGTAATCTTTTTTTATAACATGGCGCCAAGTAAATGTTTACTTTAAAATTTCCCCGATTTTCGACCATGTCAATGACAATAATTGTGTAATTCTTGTTACAAAAATTATGTGTAAACAGATTCTATTTTTTGTTTTGCACTGCTTAGGAAAACAAATCTAAAGCACATTTACGAACAAATTATATCATTAGATTTGAAAATTTTACATCTAATTATCCTAACGTCAAATTGGTTCTTGATACTCCTCGTTGTATTGGAGATGCGGCATTAAATGAACTTGCGAACCAAACATTGCAATTGTTGATCCATAGTCAAGAGAAAAAGAGGCGCATTCCCATTTCTTGATGGTATTATATCAAGTGAGAAAATACCAGAAAAAAATAAATCATGAATTTCATCTTACCGTTTAATCATCATGGTGCGAATTCTACTTGTATTACTTGAAATGAAGGCTGATAACCAAGCACTCAATTTTCAACAGTAAACGGAACCCGTGATGTATTTTTAAAGAAGCACGACGAGAATCGTTCGCGACGTTGGGGCTTACACCCGAGACACCTTATTGTAGGTTGTCTACGTGGGATTTGTACTGAATCATAGGTTTAATTATTTTTTTTTGGAATACAAATTTGCTATATAATTTTTATATTCTATCATTTTTTTAATTCGCATTAATACAAATACAAATGTTATCAGTGAACCCAATGCATATCCGTCAATGCTAAAAAATTTGCATGTTCTTAAAAAAAAAACCTCCCCTTATAATATAACATCCATGTATTTGTTTATCTTTTTGGAAATTATTATAATAAAAAAAAAATTTGTAACTTCTCTCTAATATTATTATATATATATATGTATGTCTGTAGAATTTTTACCACATAATTACAATAATAACAAATAGAATTGATAATTTACTCATATTAATACAACAATAAAATTTACTACTACTACTACTACTTTGGCGTCTACCTGGTGGATCATTGCCACCAAAAAATCCAAGTGGACATTGATTGATATTAGGCAAAGATGGTGGTATATTTGGCGTGGTTGGATTTGGCGTGGTTGGATCTGGCGGTATTGATTGACTGGAAACAAAAAGATTTGTTGGATCATAGGATGATTTGATTTCTTTTAGTTTTTTATAGTTGTCTCCAAAATATTTTTCACCAAATTGATCTCCTAAATCTTCATCAGAATATCCCTATAATAAATATTATTATGATTTTTAAATAAATTTTTTATTATATTATTATTTATTTATTATTTGTTTGTTTATTTGTTTGTTTGTTTGTTTGTTTGTTTGTTTGTTTACTTATTTGTTAATAATTACCTGATAACTATGACCATTTGATATTGGCCCAACAGTACTTTCCCATAGTTTGACATAATCTAATTTTGCATTAACATCTGTTTCACTTCCGGTCAAAGGGACATTAAGTAATATATGGTATGCAGTACCAGTTCTGTGACTAAATGCTGTAAGATTTGTGGGCAATGTTTCAAGATAGCCACCATACGATGTTAATTCTGCATATGCGCCATCTGGCATGGTAGTCCGAAGATTATTCAATGTGGCAATATTAGCATCACTAAAGGCACTAGCATTAAAAAAAAATGATTTGGTTTTTACCAATTCTCTATTTTGTTTAAACCCTGGTGGAATAGTATTGATAATTCCTTCGGTTACAAGAGTTGGTGGTGAAATTGTAATATTGTCGTTAGGACCAAGTGGGTCTATACCAATATTTAATAAATTAATTCTTTGGGTGCAAAGTTTTTCTCTAATATTTTCATTATCCAAAAAATATGCTCTAGATTGCAAATGATTGCAGGTTTGCTTATGTGTCTTGGCACCTACAATTTTAAATAATTCAATTTCAAAAAGCCATTTGTGCATTAAATCTTTGTTACATATTCCGGTTCCAATTATCCTAAGTTCCTTATTTGAAAAATATAAAAAAGTGGATAAACTAAAATTTGCATTATAAGCCCAGTTAGAAAACAACTTGAGAACTATATTAAAATCTGCGATATTAAAATCGGTATTAAAATTGGTAGCCTCTACCCATGCTTGAATGGTTTTTAATTTCCATTGAGTAACAATTCCAAATGTACCACCACCACCACCTCTTAATGCCCAGAATAAATCTGGATTTGATGAATCACTTGCTGTAACAATCGTTCCATTTGCTAAAATTACTTCTGCTTCAACGACAAAGTCACCAGCAACACCGTATTTACGAGACTGTATTCCAAATCCTCCCGAAGCAATGGAACCTGATAAACCAACTGTTGGTCCATCGGCTGATATAATAGTTTGTTGATATTTATCAAGTTCTAGATATAATGGTCCAAGTCTTATTCCGCCTTGAACTGTAGCTATTCCTGAAGTGGGATCATATTCAACATTGTTCATATATTTGAGATCAATGACAATCGAATCATCAATCGATGAATACCCTTCATTGCTATGATTAAATAAAAATTAATAAATTTATTCATATACTTGTAGTCGTTCATCGCAAATAAACAAAGAATATTTATCACCTGTGACCACCATTTCTTACACAAGGAGTTTTCTTCCAAAACACTGCGCATAATACTAAACTCTGAACTTGGGTTGAATTCATTGGATATGCAATGACCAAAGGATATCTTTGTTTCCTATTTAAGTTAAAATTTGAATTTAACATTTAACATATATATAAAAGAATTTATTGCTATCTGAGCCAATGATCTACCATTAAAAAAATAAAATTTTAACTGAAAAAAACCTAATTCGTTCTCCCATTCTAGCATCATTGTATTCTAAATCATTTTTCGTTATGACTTTTGAGCCAACGGCACCAGCAGCACACAATTCAGCACTGAGATAAGAAATAGGAGAAAATTCTGCATAAACTATCCCAATAAAAAAGCATAGGATGAATGTTAAAAGAGTAAAAGACACTGCCATTTTAGAAAATTTTTTAAAAAAACATGTTACATTTTATTTATTTTGTCCCCGTGTTTTTATGTTTTTGGTGGAACAATAATAATAACAAATTTCATATTGGGCGTCCTCAGAAATTAAAATTTGATTAGATTCAGTAATTAAATTTTCGATTTGTAGAACCTTGAAAATATCTGAAATGGAAATTACTTTTTTAATTATGCATTTCTTTGCTTGCCAAACGTTCTGAAATAAATGATTCCTCTTCCTCCTCCTTCCTCTCCTCAGATGAGGAAGAATAAATAATAGTACTCCATGAAGCTAAAAAACAAAAAAAAGTAATAAATGCAATCATTGGTATACCAGTGTATTTGTTTCCAAAATGCTATTAATATTCATTTTTTTTTTTTAGTAATAATATTATTATTATTGTTTTTTCTTTGCAAACAGGAATAAATTCTTCACTCAAATACTGAAAAGTACTTCTAGTAATTCTTGAATTCAAATTATCAAAAAGATAATGCCAACTTTGCAAAAAAACGCGTTATTTTTATTTTTTTTAAAAAAAATTTTTTTTTTTCTCCCACAAAAATTTAAAATTTTGATTGGTAAATCTTACTAAATCTTAAGATTAAATAAATTTTGATCGACAAATTTAGAGGACAATTAATCATTAATAAATATTCAAGTGAAATGTTGTCGTCGTCATCCTTGTCGTCATATAGATATTATTTATTTAAAAATTTTAGAACAAAAAATGATCGATTTTTAAGACATTTTTATTCCACAACCCATCAAATTTCTTTGAATGATGATAATTTTAATAATGATAGTGGATCAAAATTTAAAAAATATTCAAAATTTATTTACAAATATTTTGCCTGGTGTTTATTTGGATCTTGTGCATTAAACTTAAGTATGTTAAAATCCAATTATAACTCATACAAAGAAAGAATGGAATTCAGGATTAACAATCTTGAAGAAATCATTCAAAGATTAAAAAATGAAGAAAACATTAATGACACTCAAATTTCAAATAAAAATCAATCTGATAATAATGATGATGGTGTTTTTGATAATAAAGGTAAATAGAATGTAATCTTTTGTTTAATTTTTGTGAAATTTATTAAATTTATTAATTATTTTCTATCAATAACAATCAAGTAATTAAAGAAAATTCGAAAAAGAATCCTCAACCAAATATAAAATGGATTTAATCATAGATTTGTTCTAATTATTCACTTTCTCAACATCAGAAAATATTTAATTAATCGCTAAACTTCTTCTTTGGCTGTTTTGATCGAAATACTTAAAAGCATTTAATAGTTTATCTTCTAATAATAATATTTGAACTCAAGCTATCAAAGAATGCAATGAAATCAATGAATTTAAAGAAATTCAGCTATTAATAGTGCTTATATTCCATAAATACATATACCATATTGTTTTTTAAGTTGGCAGTTTAAAATTTCAAGCTGAAAGGAACCTGTATCTTTCAAAAAAAAAATTTCCAAGCATTTAGGATCTTGAAATTACAAAGACAATTGTGTTATATATATATGTTTACGCAGGCTGTTGCCTCCTCCCTCTGAGAGGTTTTTAATTTCGTGACTACAAAGGATAAGCTAGGCCTAACCCTTGTGGAAATGATTGGATGTAACTACTTGTTTAAAGAATGCTATTTTTATTTTTGCTAATTACAATAATTTTAATTAAAATGATGTAAATAATTATATCATTAATCTTCAAAGCATTCATCTTCTTGATTCCATTTTATTGAATCAAGATCAACCCCCATATTTAAAAGCATAAATGTCATAGAATCTTTATCAACTTTATCAACATCTTGAATATCACCATCATTATTACTATCCTCATTATCTGAATCATTATTTTTATTATTGTTGTTTATATTACAACTATCATGATTATTATTATTATCCCAACCCCAATTCCCATATGAATAAGAAAAACCTGAATATTCAAGGAATGAACTTCTTTTAGGCATTTTGGAGTGTAACAATTCTGCTGCTTCTTGGCTTGCACTTCTCCATTTTTTTATTAATTCATCAATGGTATTTTTTTCATCCTGAAAATATATTTCTTTAATAAAATTATATATCTATAATATTTAAGAATGCATCAATTAAATACCTTTTCTTCATAACTCATTGCCAGTTGGATTTTTTGTATATTATTTTTCATATTTATAATATCTTTTTCCAAATTATATTGTTGATCCATTAAAATCTTAAGCTCTGGATGCTTACGTTCAATATTTATAGATGATTTTAAACCGTTAAAGTTACCACCACTTTTATATTTAAGATTAGTTTTATTATTAGATTTCAATAGAATGGTTTTAGATTTTGCGTTTTTTATTATAGATGAAATAGATTGATGTTGTTGTTGGCCTGATGATCGCTTTTTTGGTAAAGGTTCTTCTGAATTATTTGTTGATGAAAACTATCATGAGATTATATACATGTAAAAGTGTGTGTGTATGTTCGTTTAATTAAAAAAACTTAACAAAAAATTGATGAAAATGTTTAACTACAGTTTGATCCTTTTGATTAGACAAAAGTGTTTTATTTAGAAGTTGATTTTTTATCCAATATATTGAAATTTCAGAACTTTTATTATCAGTAAAAGTTGTCATTGAATAAATCAAACCATCTTTAACCAACTGATCTAGGTATGTTTGTAATTTAAATTGTTTTTCATCCTAAAAAATAAAAAAAATGTTTAATTAACTGTTATCTATATATTATTAAGCCAATAAAATATAATCATAATTGGAATTTATTATAATTACAGAGTAATTGCAAATATTTAAGATTTCTTGTTTTGTCCAAATTTGACATTCCTTTGAATTGAGTAAACTTTGAAAGAGTTTTTGAATATTTGGCTCTCGTGAATTATTTGGTTCCATGATTATTTTAAAAATGTACGCGTCTGACAATAATGAGAAAATTATAACATAAAATTGGTCACCAGAGTTTTGTGTTTAGATTTTATCAATCACAATTATTTCTCCTTTACTTATTTATATGGTATATAGCTCTTATTAAAATTGTTAGTAAAATAATTACCAGTAAAGTTATTTTCTAATCTGCGACATTAAAATAATAATAATTACACGTGATTGGAAAATTTTGAAAGTAATAAAAAAAAAAGAATGATAAATATTTATTAATAGTAAATATATTTCTCGGTTGATAAGCCTGGCTGGACCTTAACTACAATGAAAATATACCATATGCAATATTCAGTGGTGAAATATCTGAACCTTATAATCAACTTAGTTTCCTTTTCAAGGTAAAAAGAAGTATTATATAGTCAAAGTTGATTATATGTATTTGAGTGTCAACACATGACCAGGGCTGGAAATAGGGTCCTGAATTAGAAAAAAATTTTTGGATGCTAACTTTTATTCAAATTTAAGAATTTTCTTTATTTTATTCTTCTGTTATTTATTACTTTGAAGAAATTTACCAAGAGCATCACTAAAATCATAACCAAATAAATCAGTGCCTTCTAAACCAACCATCATTAATAAGTGCAATGTGTCATTTTCCATTGCATTACATAAATCTGTTTTGATAATATTCTGTTTGCTAAAACCTCTTTCACAATCTATGCTAGAAAATGGAATTGAGTGCACTATTTCCATAAGTTTAAGATATAAATAAGTCTTGGAGGTTTGGAAATTGGAATATTTTCTTTTGCCATCCAGTAAATATTAATTATGTGTTTATTACCATTATTAATGGCTTTTTTGGAAGAATCTTCATGGCTATTCTTGTCTTTTCTAGAAGCAAAACATCTTTATGTTGGTTTGAAAGTGCATGAGTTGCTAAAGCAGTAGATTTTGAAACATTCTTTGATCCTAAATAATAACATTATAATATTAGTAAATTAATAATATTTATTTGTCACCTTTTCCTGCAAATTGATTTTTTTTCCCATATGCTGCATCACATTTTAACCATTTATATATATATTTAGCCATTCATTCTTCCTCATTTTTAAAATACACTTTTTTATTTGACATTTTAATATGGTTTACACTCAATTTACTATCTTTTCTTTTTTTATTTGATTTTTTTGAAGTATCATCATCATCTGAACTATAACTGATTCATCAATATTTGTTTCATCTATAAATGCTTCAACCCAAATTTCAATAGTCAAATTATCTTGTTCTATTAATACTATTTATTTATAATTTATTTTTTTTTGAATAAGGGAAAACAAATACACATAAATACATATTTAAAGTGTATATATTTTTAAATTTAATAATTTAATAACAGTGAAATAAGATTTAAATTGAGTCAATGCTTTTCTTCTGAAAATAAATAATTTTTTTTTATGCGGATGGAAAATCTGAAAAAAATATCCGGCAATTCTTTTTTTTCCGAAAGCTAAAATTTTTTAAATACTGATAAAAATAAGATTTACAAAAATAATCATAGTACTACTAGATCTAATATCCATCATGTTAAAATTACTGAAAAGATGAAAATTTGCCAAAGCTGCTGACGAATATAAAAACAACATTTTCAAAGAATAAAGAAAATTATGATGATAAATCTATTTGATGAATAGCAGTTGTAACTTTTTTAGGTTTTATAATTGTTATGATTTATTATTGTGTTTTCAAAAGAAAAATAAATCAATGTTGTAATAATAAGATTATTTTCCTTTTAAATGGTTTTGCTTTTTGTTGGGCAATGGCACATTTTCATGCTACTTTCTTTTTATAACATTTATTATTTTCTTTCTTGGTAAATTTCATAAGTAATCCTTTTTCTTTTCTTAGATAAATTTCCAGCACCCGAGTAAGACCCCACATGAGCCAGCTCGCAAGCCGAATAGGTTATTTGGCTCGCATCATTTATTTGAAATATAAAGAGCAATTTCTTCACCTTGTTCTTTCTTCAAAATACTTCTGATAGTGCTATAATTCTTGGGTTCCATAGTAGACCTGATGTAAATTAGCTTCATATTAATTATTGGATCTAAGAATCAAGTTAGAATCAAGAATGGGAGTGGATATTGCCAAAAAATACTAACTGATAATGCATTTATGGAGGGATGCATTTATTAATTTTATTGGTTACATGTGATACTAATAAAAGTTATTACTATTACTATTGCGTATCTTGGTGACAAGTTTTAACCAATCAAATATGATCGACAAGAATGTCCATGCTACAAGAATTTATAAAAAATAAAATGATAACGATAAATGAAGAAAAATCAACAATGAATTTTGCAGATGATGATAATTTTTATATGGATGTGTCAAGAGATAATATAGTTTCTGATATTAATCGTGTTGGTGGTGTATTATTAAGAAAAGATGGAAATGACACATCTAGAAGAATTTTAACTCCTTCTAATATTTTTGATGATCCAATATGGAGTTTTGATGGAAAGAAATTAATGGAAATAGTTGAAGTAATGCTTCTATATTATATACACATTTTCATATATTTATATATACTTAATTTTTAGTTGACATAAAACTATAATAATTTTTAATTAGCTCAATCATTTTCCAGACGAAACTGCAATGTTAATATCTTTGCATTCTTTTGATGAAACGAAATATAAAAAATCATGGAATGATTTTATTGACAATGTTCAAAAAATCAATCTGGTAATAGATGATATGGCAAATCTTACTAATTCATCATCATATAACACAAATTATTATTATATAGAAAATACAAATAATGAAAAGTTGATAGAATCATTGCAATCAATTAAAAATGTTATAGTGAATGGGTGTATTTGGGCTAGGTCAAATAATCTTCAATATAATGGTAATTACTATTATTATATAAACATTATAAACATATATATTTTATATATTATATATATATATATTTAAACTTTTTTTTTTTTTTTGGTAGATAAATTGAATATAGTATACAAAGGAATTTTATTTGCCTTAGATACATCATTGGGAAAGGTGAAAAGCTTGCACAATTGTATAATATTAATTCATCTAACAGATTTAAAAAATATATCCCTGAATGTTATTCTAATAATAATTCGAAAAAATTTTTTTAAAGTCTGTGAAATTATTTGAAACTGGCTTATCATTATTTGTGAAATTATGTAAATGTGGAGAAGATCTAATTATTCCATCAATGGTTTGTCATAATAATATTCAATGATTATAATTATTGATTTTAAGCTTTATTAATAAAGATACTTCTCCTTCCTCCTTCTGTATAGATTGAAAAGTGTTTAAATACTTTTGTACCACTTTTAAAAGAAAATTATGTTTCACTGACCTTGAAGACATACATTCTACAACAAATAATAATATGTATGATAGAACCTCAAGTTGTTGAGAAACTTCTTGGATGGAATGATCCTAATGATTTGAAAAACAATACTCATGCATTATATCAAAAACACATATTATCATTTCTGTTGATTAGTAAAAAAATGCCATATCAAATAATACATTTGTTGAACACTATTATATGTAAGGTGGCTGTATATCAATGTTGTAAAGAGACTAGATTGATGGCAAATAAAGAAAAAATACAGTTATTATCAAGTCAAAAATCTGAAAATCAAAAACCTTCAGATAGTAATAATGTTAATAACAATGTTAAAGATGAGCAACATCAACAAAAGGAAATTGACAATTTGATTCAAAGACTTATTGAGTCTTTGCGTATTATAACTAATCGTGCCCTTTATCACACAGTAATCAGTTCTCCTAGTAGTAGTAATGACAATGATGTTGATGATAACAAAATAGCTGAATACTCATCATTTTCATTTAGATATCTCACATTCAATGAACTTTTCCCCTCAATAACCATCCTATTAACTTCTCCACGATTAAATAAGTCTTTAAAATTTAAAAAATTTGTAAATTATGTCGCTCTACTTTGTACTATTTTATTGGGAGGTCAGAATGGAACTCTTTATCTCCTGAAAGAACTACAAAAGTCAATAGAGCCATCATCATCATTATCAGGAGGCAAAACCATATTTGCAAATTGGGTTGATTTGTTTTATCAGAATAATAATAGTAGTAGTAGTAGTAATAATAATAGTGGTAATAGCAATGATAATAATAATAATAACATTGATGATTATGATAATAATAATAATAATGATGATGATGATGATGATGATGATGATGATGATGTGGGTGTTGATAATGATGTGGGTGTTGATGATGATGCGGGTGTTGATTTATTAACGACATCACAAACCGTCACACCAAATATAGAAGATATTGATGACACTGTATCAGATTCATTACCACAAGCTTTCAATGATGATTATTGGTTGTTCAAAATGACTGAAATAAGAAATACTTTAGGAATTGGTGATTTGTGGTGTGGACCTGGTCAATTTACAAAAGATAAAAATGATGATAATGATTGTCATTATGTGTTTGATTATAATGATAAGGAATTGTTGGATACTAAGACTAAAGAAGATCATAATATGAAGAAAGCAAAAGAAATTTTGAAAATGCAAAGCTATGGAGCTATTGGAACAAATAGTGATTGTCTTGACAATCTTGTGATACCACCAAACCATCTGATTATCATGTTAACTTATCATACACAGGCTTTTTTAATTGTGGTGAGAATATTAGAGTATGGAAGAGGATTAGCGTCAGGAATGCAAAGTCTTGATGAAACAAATTGTAAAATAATAATGGAGTTGTTTGAGGAATTGATTAAAATGACCGCTTTTAATGTTGGAAATCAGGTACTTTATTATTATTTATTGTTTATATATTTTTATATTTTTATCTGATAAAAAATTAATATTTCCAAAAATCAATTTTTAATAGGCTGTTGCATCTTCAATAATAAATCTTGATGCTCTTCCAACCATTTTATCTTTTGTGAACATAAATCCATCATCCGTTGCTACTGATTATGATTTTGGACGCATCCCTTTAGAATTATTGGAAATTGTTGTAAAATTTTCTCGAGCAGTTCCATTTTTGTTATCATCTCAAACCAATGAACTGGTTCTATCACTTATATCAAATGATAATCATCTTCGCTCATTATGGGATCCAATTGCCACATTTCATGAAACTGCCAATATTCAAGGAATAATAGATATAATCAAGCATCAAAAGTATTATCCCGAGTGTTTAAGAGATCACACCGTTGTCAATCAACTTTTGATTTCATTAAGGTTTTTGTTAGCATATACATATACTGACGGTGGAATAAATCAAATCCTTGTCGCAAGAATGGACGATTTTAGTGGATTGGACAATGGAGATAGTCTTCTGGTATTCCTGCTAAGACTTTTAAACTCTGCTTCGGAAATACTTTATGATTTGTCAGATTTCTTTGTCTACACAGAAAATAACAGTTTAAATGACCCGAATTTTTCAAATTTTAAGGAGGAAATTGAAAATCAGGATGAATTAAAAAATACAGATACTACTAATATAAAAGTTAATGGCAGCAACAATATACTTGACAATAATCTCAACACAAATAATAATAACACCAATATCAATAATAATTTAGAAAATTTGATTGCATCACAACAAACTTCAGGAGTTGTGTTCTCATCAGAAGCTTTCGAATTACGAAAAGAATTATTGGATTTGGTATGGTACAACCTATTACTTATACAGAGATTGCTTAAAGTGATTTATGGAAATAGAGAAAGTAGTGCTGCCAAACAACATTTCAAAAATGTTTATGAGCAAGAAGAAATACTTAACGACCCAATCCCTTCACAAAAGAAAACAATGATTCAAACACATGTCAGATCGTTTTTGGCACTTGTATCAGCACTTGATCATCTAGATGGAAATCTCAGTAATCAAATAAATGCTATCTCCTTATCTGGAAATGAAAAACAATTTAAATTTGGTCAGTCAGCTCAATTGTCAAGAATTCGTGATCTAGTAGTGAACTTATTAAAGATATTAACAGAAGTTGTTGTTGTTCAGAAAAAAGATCAAGAATGTGATTCATTAGTTGTTGTTAAAGCAAAGTATTTTTCTGAATATGTTCAACATCATGTCATTAAGCAGTTGATTGAGTTTGTGTTTGAAGGACCTGAAAATTTTTTGACTGGGTTGTATTTAATTAAAGAGACATTACCCAAACCAACAAAAACTTTATTTATTGATAGTGATGGTGATGACGATAACACACAACAACAACAACAACAACAACAACAACAACAACAACAACAACAACAACAACAACAACAACAACAACAACAACAA